GCAAAAATCCTCAATAAAATTCTGGCGAATCGGATACAAAAACATATCAAAAAAATTGTGCACCATGATCAAGTAGGATTCATCCCTGGGATGCAAGGCTGGTTCACTATACGGAAATCAATAAATGTTATTCACCACATCAATAGACTTAAAAATAAGAACCATATGATCATCTCGATAGATGCGGAAAAAGCATTCGACAAAGTACAGCATCCCTTTATGTTCAAAACTGTAGAAAAACTAGGGATAACAGGAACATACCTCAATATTGTAAAAGCAATCTATGCTAAGCCTCAGGCTAGCATCATTCTGAATGGAGAAAAATTGAAGGCTTTCCCTCTAAAATCTGGAACAAGACAGGGATGCCCTCTCTCTCCACTTCTGTTCAACATAGTTCTCGAAACACTGGCCAGAGCAATTAGACAGACGAAAGAAATTAAAGGCATCAAAATAGGAAAAGAAGAACTTAAATTATCACTATTTGCAGGTGACATGATTCTATACCTACCAGACCCAAAAGGGTCTACAAAGAAACTATTAGAGCTAATAAATGAATTCAGCAAAGTGGCAGGATATAAAATCAACAAGCATAAATCAAAGGCATTCCTGTATATCAGCGACAAATCCTCTGAAATGGAAATGAGGACAACCACTCCATTCACAATATCTTCAAAAAAAATAAAATACTTGGGAATCAACCTAACAAAAGAGGTAAAAGACTTATACAATGAAAACTAAAGAACCCTAAAGAGAGAAATAGAAGAAGATCTTAGAAGATGGAAAAATATACCCTGTTCATGGATAGGCAGAACTAACATCATCAAAATGGCGATATTACCAAAAGTTCTCTATAGGTTTAATGCAATGCCAATCAAAATCCCAATGGCATTTCTTGTAGAAATAGAGAAAGCAATCATGAAATTCATATGGAAAAATAAAAGACCCAGAATAGCAAAAACAATGCTAAGCAGGAAGTGTGAATCAGGTGGTATAGCGATACCAGACTTCAAACTATACTACAGAGCAATAGTAACAAAAACAGCATGGTACTGGTACCAAAACAGGCGGGTGGACCAATGGTACAGAATAGAGGACACAGAAACCAATCCACAAAATTACAACTATCTTATATTTGATAAAGGGGCTAAAAGCATGCAATGGAGGAAGGATAGCATCTTCAACAAATGGTGCTGGGAAAACTGGCAATCCATATGCAACAAAATGAAACTGAATCCCTTTCTCTCGCCATGCACAAAAGTGAATTCAAAATGGATCAAGGAGCTTGATATCAAATCAGAAACACGCCGTCTGATAGAAGAAAAAGTTGGCTATGATCTACATACTGTGGGGTTGGGCTCCAAATTCCTCAATAGGACACCCATAGCACAAAAGTTAATAACTAGAATCAACAAATGGGACTTACTCAAACTAAAAAGATTTTTCCTCAGCAAAAGAAACAATAAGAGAGGTAAATAGGGAGCCTACATCCTGGGAACAAATCTTTACTCCTCACACTTCAGATAGAGCCCTAATATCCAGAGTATACAAAGAACTCAAAAAATTAGACAATAAAATAACAAACAACCCAATCAACAAATGGGCCAAGGACCTGAACAGACACTTCTCAGAGGAGGACATACAATCAATCAACAAGTACATGAAAAAATGCTCACCATCTCTAGCTGTCAGAGAAATGCAAATCAAAACCACCCTAAGATACCATCTCACTCCAGTAAGATTGGCAGCCATTATGAAGTCAAACAACAACAAGTGCTGGCGAGGATGTGGGGAAAAGGGTACGCTTGTACATTGCTGGTGGGACTGCAAATTGGTGCAGCCAATTTGGAAAGCAGTATGGAGATTTCTTGGAAAGCTGGGAATGGAGCCACCAGTTGACCCAGCTATTCCCCTTCTCGGTCTATTCCCTAAAGACCTAAAAAGAGCATGCTACAGGGACACTGCTACATCGATGTTCATAGCAGCACAATTCACAATAGCAAGACTGTGGAGCCAACCTAGATGCCCTTCAATAGACGAATGGATAAAAAAAATGTGGCATTTATACACAATGGAGTATTACTCTGCATTAAAAAATGACAAAATCATAGAATTTGCAGGGAAATGGATGGCATTAGAGCAGATTATGCTAAGTGAAGCTAGCCAATTCCTAAAAAACAAATGCCAAATGTCTTCTTTGATATAAGGACAGTAACTAAGAACAGAGTAGGGACGAAGAGCATGAGAAGAAGATTAACATTAAACAGGGATGAGAGGTGGGAGGGAAAGGGAGAGAGAAGGGAAATTGCATGGAAATGGAAGGAGACCCTCAGGGTTATACAAAAGTACATACAAGAGGAAGTGAGGGGAAAGGGAAAAATAATACAAGGGGGACAAATGAATGATAGTAGAGGGGGCAGAGAGAGAAGAGGGGAGGGGAGGGGAGGGGGTATGATAGTAGAGGATAGGAAAGGCAGCAGAACACAACAGACACTAGTATGGCAATATGTAAATCAATGGATGTGTAACTGATGTGATTCTGCAATCTGTGTATGGGGTAAAAATGGGAGCTTATAACCCACTTGAATCAAAGGGTGAAATATGATATATCAAGAACTATGTAATGTTTTGAAGAACCAACAATAAAAAATTAAAAAAAAAAAAGAAAACATGTATGAGGAATAAGGTTTAAGAGCTGCCAGTTATACCTTATATATTTAGTGATGAAGAAGTAGTTCAGCTCTTGGATGGCAGAACAAGGTCCTGGCATGGACTCTTTCCTTATTTCTCCCATACCTCACATTCTTCTAGAGATCTACAGGCTGAGGAGTGGGCAGAGGCCTACATTATATGGGAACCACAGGAACACACAGGGCAAGGCCATCATCTATGCAGACTCTGGGTATCATCTGTACTCGGGTTAACTGACTGTATACTGTTCAGGAAAATTGTGTACGTGTGTGTATGTGTGTGTGTGTGTGTGTGTGTGAGAGAGAGAGAGAGAGAGAGAGAGAGAGAGAGAGAGAGAGAGGAGAGGAGCTGAAATAATGGGTAACAATATAAGGTAACAAATATAAGGTCACTCAGGAAATTCTATCTATAAATCAGCTATTAAATAAAAACAAAGTTGTTTTTCTGAGTATACATTGAAAACCAAACATTCTGTGCTTCACTGAGCTATGAACCAAAATTTCAGACATAAAACTAAGCTCCTATTCAATTTTCCATTATTCACATGATTACCAAAATTCTAATATAGGCCTGAAAACCACAATAGATTTAACTACCTATCATGCCAGAGAGGTAGCTTGATGTAGTGAAAAGAAACAGTCAATGAATATTTGAACAAGGGAAAGGAAATAGGGAAAAAAAAGGAAGGGAAAAAACAGAAGGAATGAAGGGGTGGCAAGGGAGAGGGAAGGTATAATTAAACATTAAAAGTAAATATTTAAATACTAGTTCTGACCAGTGTGGTGGCACATGCCTATAATCCCAGCAGCTAGGGAGGCTGAGGCTGATTTCGAGTTCAAAGCCAGCCTCAGCAATGGCAGGTGCTTAGCAACTCAGTGAGACCCTGTCTTAGTTCAGTGGTTGAGTGCCCCTAAGTTCAATCCCCAGTACCAAACAAACAAACAAACAAACAAAACAAAACAAAAAACAAACAAAAAAAAAACAGTTACTGTAATTAGTAAACATTTATTATTTGTTTATTTATTTTTGCACTTCTGAGGATTGAACTCAGGAGTACTCTACCACTGAGCTACATCACCAATCCTTTTTATCTTTCATTTTGAAACAGGATCTCACTAAGTTGCCCAGGCTGGCCATTAACTAGTGACCCTCCTAACTCAGTCCCTGAGTAGATGGTATTACAGGTATGTGCCACTATGCCCAGCTTAATTAATAGACTTAAATTTATTTATGTTTTGATTAATATGTATTAATTAATTCAGTAAATTTTGACAAGTTTTAATTTTTCAGAAACTTATTCTCTTCATTTGAACATGTGGCAATACCCAAAAGTAAACTAAAATGACTTTTAATTATGCAAGATGAATAAGACTTAGAGGTCTACTGTATGGCATAGTGTTTAATAGTTAACAATACTGTATTGTATATTTAACATTTTGTTAAGAGGTAAGGTATTAAATAAGTATTCTTGTCACACACATACACAATAAAAATCAAACAGGGCTAAGAGAAACTTTAGGAGGTGATGAATATGTTTATGGCATCAATTGTAGTAACGATTTCACAGGTATATACAGATCCCCAAACATTAACTTGTATATGTTAAAAGTATACAGTTGTTTTTCTTTTAAAGAGAGAATGAGAGAGAGAGAGAATTTTTTAAAAAAATATTTATTTTTTTTTAGTTCTCGGCGGACACAACATCTTTGTTTGTATGTGGTACTGAGGATCAACCCTGGGCCGCACGCATGCCAGGCAAGCCACATCCCCAGCCCAGTATACAGTTTTTTTGTATGTCAATAATACCTTAGTAAAGTGGTCTTAAACATTACTTTTATAAAGTGCTTGGTAAATAATAGGTGCTTAACAAATTGTTGATGGTAATTCCTGAATTTAGGTAAAAATACTGCTGCTACTATTTATCACCGTCACTAAACTGTTATAGCATTATCTCAGGCATTTTTTAATTAATTATATACAGCAAACTCTACATATAATAAATGTGCAGTTTTAAGATTATGGTGTCAGGTGGGCAGAAAATTTGTATTTTCATAAGATAAGTAATATACAATTTGAAAAAGTCATGCTTCTAATGTTCTTTGCATAGAAATATGTCTCATAAGATCTAAAATATTACCACCTTTACCTTTATTGTAAGGATTTCATGGATCAAGCACCTGAGCAACCATTTAAACTGCAACAGTAAGCACCTGAAGCAATAATACTCTCATCCATGTTTCCTTTGCAACTCATGTGACTTTTTAAAGAAATGTCAGATTTACAGGGAATAAAGAATAAAGAGAAATACTCACTGATAGGATCTGGTCTCCTCTCTGGAGCTCCCCACTCAGGTCTGCTGGTCCACCCGCCAGAATGAAAGATACAAAAATACCTTCTCCATCTTCCCCGCCCACGATGTTGAAGCCCAAGCCAGTGGAGCCTTTGTGCAGGACCACCTTGCGGGGCTCCCTGTAGAAACAAGTGGAGAACATTCTTCACAGGGTGACCACTCAAGATTTTGTGTTCTTTTTCTTTCATTCAAATATATGATACCTATCATTCACTGCCTATGATAATGGCTTACCAAAGTAAGGTACATTTTCTTATCAAGAGTCATTCACTGTAACAACTATCAAAATACCATTCAAAAATCATTCCTTAATTCCCATTTTCTTTTCTTTTTTTCTTAAACATATGAAATTTTTTATATCTTTATTTTATTTATTTATTTTTATGTGGTGCTGAGGATCAAACCCAGGGCCTCACACAGGCAAGGCGAGTGCTCTACTATTGAGCCACAGTCCCAACCTCCCCCCTCTCCCCCATTTTCTTTTTATTTTTTAATTGATTTTATTTTTTTAAATACATCACAGCAGAATGCATTACAATTCTTATTATACATATAGAGCACAATTTTCATATCTTTGTATGTAAAGTATGTTCACGCCAATTCATGCCCCCCATTTTCTTAAACTAGGTTTCCTTCCACTTTTCTTTTGTGTAAAATATCTTGTATTAGGCATCACAAAAGTACTCAGTGATTGGATGTATCCAAAAGGGGGGATTTTGGGAGATAAAATAATGGACTGGATCTTGAAAGATCTCATATGCCAGACTGTGGGTTTGTTGTTTGATTGTTCATTAAAATTTTTAGGAACTGAGGACTCATTGGAAGATTTTGAGGCATTACGAATATTTCAATCTATTTTGGGAAGATTAACAAAAACATATGTAGGGTTGATGGAGAGGGAAGTGCAGGTATGATGGGAGGCAGGGAAATATTTAGGATGTTGTCCAAGTAATCCAGGTGTGAAGAAGGGACAGACTGAAGAAGGGTGCCAGCAAAGAGAAGGAAAAAAAAAAAAAGGACAATATAAAGGAAGAAATTTGAAGGGTAAAGCAGTGGGTCCAGAGACTGACCCAGGCTTTAGAGAAAGAGAGAGAGCCTCTAAGTAACTGGCAAAAGGAGGAGGAGTGGATGCAAGATAATGAGGATGAATATGGTTTTGACATTGTCAGCTAGTGGTGGGATACCCATCTGGACATGTTTTGAAGTAGTTGGAGATACGAAGTAGGAAATCAGGTCCTCAGAGAGAAGTGCAAATGAAATGTAGATTGGGGGGTTACCAATAAAAAGTGAGAGATCAAATTTTGAGCAGTTCACTAAATTTGTGTAGAAGCAAAAGAATTATAGAACTTATAAGAATTTTAAAAGACACCTAGTTTAATTTTCTAATCAGTAGTTGAAAAAAGTGTGTTTGTGAGCCTTAGTTATGACCAAGCTGCCTTTTGTATCATCTACCCTCCTCTCCCAAACATCTAAGTTCCAATTACTCAAGTTGATCTCCTATTTTTCAGCTATCCATGATCAATGATGTAAGAATAGTAAAGAGTAATCCAATATATTTTATACTAATGGCACACAGATTTTTTGCTACCCCTTTTCCATGTGTAAAGTGATGCATCATATCTTTGTCTAGGCTCATTATAAAGAAGATAAGAAAAGTCACATCATAGCTTGAACTGTCAGTGATATATTACATAGTGATGCAGTCATAGGTAGAGCTAATTGACATAGAGCTAATTAATTTCATCCTGCTAATACTTTATAAGTACCTCCTGTACAAGGTACTGTTCCAGATGCTCAGAATGTTTGCAAATTATATAAATATCCCTGCTCTTGTGGCTTGACATTATAATGAGGGCAGACCACTAATAAGCAATGGATATAATACATAAGTTTATTACATAGTATGCTAGAAAACAACAAGTATTTTGGAGGAAAAAAAAGCATAGTAGTATAAGAGAGGATAGGTTGTGGCAGGGACGGGCCTGGGTTGCATTTATTGAGAAGAGATATTTGATCGCTTCTCGGCCTTTTGGCTAAGATCAAGTGAGAAGAGATATTTGAGAAGGGACTGAAGAGATGAGGAAACTAGTCATGTAGGTATTAAAGGCAGAGCATGTCACTCAGAGGGGACTGTTTATACAGAGACCCTGCTTTGGGAAGGTGCCTTGTGCTGTCAAGGAAGAATCAGGTGGCCAATGAGGCTAAGGTGAGTGAGTGAGGGAAGGAGAATCAGTTTGAAAGCTACTTCTCTTACCACCCTCTACCCCCCAATAAAGGTGATCACTATTCCTTGGGCCACATTGTCCTGCACACATAGCTCAACTGCAGCATTTTCAGTGTGCAGTGATTGCTTCTCATACCCTTTGAAGAAGAATGTGAACTCCTGAAGCCCAGGAACCAGTATTTCCCCAGCAGTAGAAGATACCTAACAAGTTGTAGGAATTCAGGAAATGGTTATTGAATGAATGAATACATTTTCTGAGGTGATTTAAACCTCTACTTTATATTATAGTTATTTATGCAAATGTCTTTCCTTCTTGGTACAATTTTAGTCAGGGATGACAGTTTTTTTTTTTTTTTTAATTTTTGGAATGGGAATTGAGCAACATTTCCCCCCCACTTTTTTTGTATTTGTATTTTATTTAAAGACAGGGTCTCACTGAATTGCTTAGGGCCTGCCTAAATTGCTGAGGCTGACATTGAAATCCCAATCCTCCTGCCTCAGCCAGTTGAGCCGCTGGGATTATAGGTGTGCACCACAGCGCCTGGCAGGAATGTCAGATTTTAAAGTAAAATAAGTCCACAGGTCACACAGGAAGCACAAATGAGTGAAGTAGGCTGAAAACGAATTATAGCAAACTGGGGACTGTGTTTCATCTAAAGCAAGGATGCTGCTGTTCGACTCCAGACATCAGCTCCAGGCAGGAATGAAAATGGAGAATATCATTCTAAGTTAAATAAGCCAGTCCCAAAAAATGAATGTTCTCTCTAATAATGTGGATGATAACCCACAACAAGGGAGGTTGAGAAGGGGGAAGATTATAAATTCATTGGATTACACAAAGAGGAATGAAGGGAAAGAATAAAGGATGGAAATAGGAAAGTCAGTAGCATGAATTTAACAGAACTTTCCTATGCTCATATATGAATACATGACCAGTGTAACTCCACATCATGTACAACCAGAAGAATGGATCCTAATTAGAATAAGTTATACTCCATGTATGTATAATATGTCAAAATACACTCCACATTATGTTTATCTAAAAAGGACAAATTTTGGAAAAAAAAGGAAAGAAAAAGAAAGTTCAGGATTCAAAAAGGAAAATCATTACTTAAACCTGAAGGATTTTTGGTACTGAGGAAAGTATACAAATGTTTCTAGCCATCTTTCTCAAATGTGAGTCTGTCCATGTTACTTACTCGCTCAAGAGACTTTTGGGATCTTCATGCCCTCAGAATGTGGTCTAAGCTTCTAAGTATGACATTTGGACCTCCCATAACTTGTCCTTCACCCATCTTTCCATGCCTAACTTCATCATGTTCCCTCGTACCCATGCTCTGCCATGCAAAGTGGCCAACCATAGCTCCTCGTACAGGTTGTTGATGCCTCATGTCTTACCTAGGCTCTTGACTTTGGTCAAAATTGTGCCTTTTGTTTTTATTCTCACATATCTAATGAACTTCTGCTTGATCTTCAAGACTGAGGCCAGGTGCCATCTCTCACTGCCCCTTCCATCCTTTCCTCCAGATAAACTGACCAATTCTGTTTTTGAAACCACATTTTCCTTTTATTAACACCATTGTTACTGCCTTTACTGTTCCCAAATTACTTTGGTTATACATCCATCTACACTGTGAATCTGTGTGGTCCTAAAGGAAAAAAAGGATCTCCAAGCTTTTTTTTTTTTTTAATAATTTTGGAGACTAGAATAGCTGAGCACACAGAGACACACACAAGAAGATATGTTTCATGAATAAAGAGAAAACAAGTGGGGGGTTGGGAGAAGTGATATCGAATTGGGTTCTACCACTCTAAAGCTCTGTGAGAACCCCGTATGCCCTCTGTGGGTCAGGTTCCTTGCTTGGATAATATTAGGAATACTAGTGGCTCATGGATAAGTGGCAAAATTCAGATAATATAAAGGACAAAATCATTTATAAAACTAAAAAGTGTTAAAGAAAAGTATATATTGAGATGCTATTTCCAGTCATCTGGCAGATGAGATACACTGAAAAGTTCTCCCTTTATAAAGCAGCTAAAAATCCTGAATAGAATACTTGTAAAACATTTTTAAGTGCCTGACTAAGCTTGAAAGTAAGACATTTTCAGAGATTGAAATTAAAGCAGAAATGTTAAGTTCAGAGAAAAAAAGTAAGTACTAAGATAGCAGCAGACTGAAGAGTTCCCAAGTCTAGACTTGATGGCTGTGTGGTAAATAGGATTATTTAGACCCAGATGTGGGGTCAGAGCAGACACCACTGAGCATATTAGGACTTTGACAGTCTATCTTCCAAACAGAAGGGTACAGTCCAAAAATATCAGCCCCTCAGTGATGTCAAGAATACATATCTGCCCTGACTGTGGCCAAAGCAAGAAGAAATGTACTGGGGAACTATTCAAAGCATGTTTTAAGTTGAAGAGGCTACCCTCTAGGAATAGAACTCATAAAACTAAGTAATTGGGAGAAGAAGAAGGGTGAGCCTCAGTAGCAGAAAAATTAAGTTGGCAGGATATCTCCAGCATTTCGAGGCAGAGTTCTCTCCAGCTCCATCTGTGGCTCCAGGTTGCTGTCCTGATTGGTCAGAGACAGACATGAGATGGGATCATCTGGCCACCCTAGCTCAACCACAATAGTGATTAAAATCATTTGGGTAGCAGATAGCCCTTCCTCAGAGTTCAGAAATACAAAGCAACATGCTCATTAAAACCTGGCCTTCCACAGTGCTTTTCCTAATGAGAGCAAAGTGCTAATATCAGCATGTTTTGTTATCTTGAGCAGGTATATTTCCATTGTAAATTAAAAACAGCATTATAATATATGAACTTGGGTCACCCCTGGAGACACTGACAAAAAATGAGTTTCAGAGCATGTAGACCTAAGTCTCAGATCCAGTA